CTGGAGTTCTCTCATCGACGCACGTCTATCAATCAAGTCTCTTTTGTCGATGAAAAGTGGGATTTTCCTGTCGAGGCTCACGCTCTAGCTAAAGTCGCATCATCTCTAGGAGTAGGCCTCAATTTCGCTTGCGGCTTTACCTTATTAGTTGTATACTCATGAACATTGTTGATTATAAAGCCGCGTTTAGACCCCTAAAAAAACTAAAGGCAGGAGTTGGGAGGGCCTTGAATCGGTGTGGGTCTATGAAAAAAGGCACAAATATGGACAATGAGATGTTGGGTGGATGACTTAGGATGTTTGATTGCTGGTTTGCCTTTTCTACTAAAAAGTAGTGTGATGAAACATTTTGTTCTATGAGAAAGCTTTCAATTTTCAATTGATTGTATCTATATTTACCTCTGATACTACAATTTAATTTGAGAAAGAAAGTTTCCAAATATTATATCAGTATATAGCTTCGTACTTCTTATAGTTAATGGTATAACTCTATTTTTTATGCGTACCATGAGAAGTTATATTCATGATTTTAAAAGACGGTAAGCAGATTTATCGTGGGAAATGGAACATGCACTTAAGGGGCGGTAACCAAAGTTTTCGGTAATCAGAACCATAGCCCATGTTTGTAATCATTCCCAGGTACTCAGGACCAATCAAAGTTCCTTGGCATAACCCATGTCGCCAAGGAAGAGCGCAGGCTGTTTACCAGTAACCAAAGTTTTTTGGCATAACCCATGTCGCCAAGGAAGAGCGCAGGCTGTTTACCAGTAACCAAAGTTTTTTGGCACGCACGAGATATCACAAATTTTGACGACTTAAGATATAATATCATGCGCGCAACTAGTAAACATGCGCACAGGAATTGCACAAGAGATGTATGGGTACTAACATGCTGGCCCTCTTATTAATTATACAATCTGGCTGATTCTGCGAAGAAGCTCGGTCTACATACTGTTGCTGGAGGGCATGCAAATGGTCGTTGCAGTCCCACAATACGCTGCTCCTTTATTCAATTCCTTGGCACCAACATCATCCGTCGTCTCATCATATATATGTCGAAGATTTAGCATTACTTAAACCTCAAGTAATGTTACAGTTGCTCCAAAAATCCAATCGTTGAGAACGTGTCGGTTGGCCAATGGCTGGACTGAGTGTCCAAAATGGTAATTTCTCATCAGGGAAGGTTGCGGTTATAAATAGACACCCCGCATCGACTTTGTCCGGTGGCTGCTCCGTTTGTTTCCGAGAAGATAGTTGAGCAACCCACTCTCTTGAGTGATTTGAGTTTATAATCCATCGAGAGAAAAGACCCAGAAAAGTGCCAGCACCAATGTTAAGTCTAGGGCTTGAACTATGGTGAGTTGGGGATACAATTATCCTCCTAACCATTCAATCACAATTTACATGGCACGTTTACTTGCCTGTTTTTTCTTTGTCTTCGCAATTTGCCTGGGAAGTTTACGTGCATGGTACATGGACATATTTTGGCCACACGTATAAACTGGAAGAATGTTGGGATTTCAAAAAGAACCCTAAAGGCCAAGTTAAATTTTTCCTAAATTTAGCACAACGTCAGGTAAATATTTATCTTGAGAGGAAAAACAATTGAAAATATATGTTATAATTTCCTTTACCCTCTCAACAATTGTACTGTATAGTAGTTATTAGAATTTTATGTGTATCCTATATACCTAAGAGAGTGATTCCACTAACATTTTTATCTCATGCATCATGCAATCATGCCACATCACCATATAAGTATTGATGGGATAAGGTGCACCTCAACATGCAACAATGCATGGGAAAAGACACACCACTACATGCAACTGTGCATGGGAAAATATTTTTTATTCTACTATACTTATATATATATATATATATTATAACTATACATAATCAATTATATAAGTCATATGAATTTTTAGTTTTAGTTCATGTGTTATTAATATAAATATTTATATCTCGCACAATCAAATCTCATTGAAATTAATCTATTCCAACCGATTACCATAGCAACGTGTGGGGTGTCATCTAGCATTTATAAGTCATCACTCCAGGAACCTTTGGGCTAAAACACTTGTGGTGCCTGCTTGACCAGCCAAGTAGCAAGCCTAGATAGCCCATGGGACCTCGTGCCTATCCCAAGAGCCCGAAGAGCAAACCTGTTGAAAATCCAAACTCCTACTTATACAAGCCGATGACCCTCTGCCTAAACAGATCTTGTTTAGTCCCACCCGATTGTCTTGGTTTCTTTCTCCCCATCATCTTTTACTTTATATTTTCTATGTTTTCAAAATAATTGTTCTTCATTTTATTAAGTTGGCTATATTCTTTTTCTATCTTTCCTAACTTACTAAAAATTGCAGACCATTTTCTTTCCTTTTATGTTTTGAGCCTTCAGTATCTTGTTTTTATTTTATTACTTTATAATTTCTTATCTTTTTCAACAAATATATGGATATTTTCGGAAGTGGCGAGGATCTGTAACATTCAGTTGAAATACGTCCATGTATCATTATTTTAAAATACCAATGATGTATTTACTATATATTAGTATAAATAGTAGTTTTACAAATGTCCCTGGGCTAGTAATTATTTTTATAGTAGTAATAAATATTTTAAAACAGCAATGATGTATTTTAAATTAACAATTATTTTTATATTAGTAGGTGTAGTAATAAAAGGAAAACAGATTATCCGATGGGCTATGCCAATGGCATGTCAATTCAGCGCTTACAGTGTAGGTAGCTTCCCTCTCATTTAAGATGGGAGTAGGTGGCATGCCAATGGGAGTCTTTGTGTTCGTCATTGAAGGCCTTACCGATATGGCTAGACTCGTGCAATGAAGCTCTTCATTGGCCCTTGAACTTAACCTCACTGATATGTTGTCTGCATCCGATTGCAAGGAGGTTAATGTATGCACATCTTTGGGGAGCTGTTAAAAATTTGCAGCAATTCCTTGGGGAATGTCTATCAATGAAGTGTCTTTTGTCGATGAAAAGTGCGATTTTCATGTCGAGGCTCACGCTCTAACTAAGGTCGCATCATCTCTTGGAGTAGGCCGAAATTTCTCGCTTGTGGCTTTACCTTATGTTAGTTGTATACTCATGAACATTGTTGATTAATAAAGCTGCGTTTAGACCCCTAATAAAACTAAAGGCGGGAGTTGGGAGGGCCTTGAATGGGTGCGGGTCTATGGAAAAAGGCGAAAATGAGATGTTGGATGGATGACTTAGGATGTTTGATTGCTGGTTTGCCTTTGCTACAAAAAAGTAGTTTAATGATACATTTTGTTCTATGAGAAAGCTTTCAATTTTCAATTGAATACCTCTATATTTACCTGTGATACTACAATTTAATTTGAGAAAGAAAGTTTCCAAATATTATATCAGTATATAGCATCATACTTATTCTAGTTAATAATATAACCCTATTTTTTATGCATACCGTGAGAAGTTAAACGTATAATATTAAAAGACGGTAAGTGGATTTGTCATGGGAAATGGAACCATAACCCATGGTTGTAAACAGTCCCAGGAACTCAGAAACAATCAAAGTTCCTTGGCATAACCCGTGTCGCCGAGGATGAGCACACGGCACACGCTATTTACCGGTAATCAAAGTTTTTTGGCACGCACGAGATATGACAAAATTTGACGACTCAAGATATAATATCATGCGTGCAACAAGGACATCAAGCAGTAATAGAAAGCATGCGCACAAGAATTGCACAGGAGATGTCTCGGTACTAACATGCTGGCTCTCTTATTAGTTATACGATCCGGCTGATCCTGCGAAGGGGCTGGCTGATCGTTGCAGTCCCACAGTGCGCTGCTCCTTTATTCAATTCCATGGCACCACCATCGGCGATCGCCGCATCATATATATGTCGGTGTTGCGTGACGCGCAAGCGTCTTACTGTCGACGTCCGGGGCGGCCTGCATGGCCTTGCGGTGGGGAGCCAGTGCCGAGGGCGCCCGCGGGGTGGCGCCGGAGTTGCACTCTGGGCACTTCCTAGAATAACCTGGGCCCTGTGGGGCATACGGAGGCGGAGGCCTTTGTGGCGGACGATATCCAGGCTGTGCGCTCGCAGCTACATGGACGTAAGCCGGGCCTAGAGTTAATATTATTGTTTCCTCTATACGAGTAGAAAAGAATTGAATGGAGAGTAGAGACTTACCTTGAGCCGCCAAGGAAGAGGAGATGAGAACCAGCACTGCCATAGCGCATGCGAGTGCCATGGAAGAAGAAGAAGAAGAACGCTGCATGATGGGTTGCTTCTGAGCTTCTAATATATAAGCTTTGCTTCATTTATAGGCTAACGAAAGCTGGTAATACATGCATGCATGCATGGTAGTGCTAATATGGTCCAGGTCATTTCATTGCACGAGAGGCCAGTTCATTGCACGAGCGACAAGGACAGAAATCAGCATGCATGCATGCATGCTAGTGCTAATATGGTCCAGGTCGTCGCTCGGTCAACCCTGTACGTAGTATGTCTCGGCCCAGGTGCGGTGCATGCATGGATTCCGTGTCTCTGCACGTACGCATGGCATTTTCAACGTGGGAAATGATTCCTTCGACTGAAGACTCAAAAAATTTCTGTTTAAAATCATGCATTTTGGTCGGAGTCCCCTTTGTCTGATTGAAAATGCCGACCTCTGTCTTTCCGGTTTTAGTGGAAAGCTCACTGGAACTCCATGATCTTCCACTAGAACTTTACAGACTGTTAAAAAATGGATTCCATGACGTGAAAAGAAAAAAAAGTATTCCACACACATCTACAATACTTACATGGTTTTGCTTTCCAGAGCTAATGGATTGTCACCAACTGAAGTTGACAAACCGTGTGTAGTGTATAAAGAGATCTTATGTCAATGGATTAACAAGAACATTAATGGATATAATTCGAATTTGAAACGTAGGTACATGAAATTTTATCCAGAAGTGGTGTTAAAAATATTACTGGCTGTCATTAATTAGTGGATTTTTAGGCCTTACGTAAGTAATAAAGAAAAGGAGTCTCACACACCAGGTGGCCAAGTCGTGGGCAACAACATGGTGGTTATTGGCATTTGTATTCTCACAAATTCAAATGAAGCCTGGAAATCACGAAACATGGCATGGTGTCATGATACCGCCCCAAGAAGTTGCACTAAAAGAATTGAGAATGTTCCATGGCTTCGAGAGGGCGCCAGGGTTTGCATGTGAAGCAGCCGCTGCACGGATGAGGCTTCCTCCGGTGACATGTCCTATATATCACACCTTCGCGCTCTATGCCAGGAGCACACAGTGACTTGTTCCTTTGGGAACACAGCTTGATGCTTACACTAGGACTATTAGAAAGGTTGTTGGGATTCCAAGTGCAGGAGTTTATAACTAGAAGCAAGTCGTCCGCTCAGTGAGAACTTGAAGAAAATTTGTCTTCTCCAAATGATTAGTTTTGCAAAACTGGACCATGGTTCATAATTGCACCAATAGTAACTCCCCATAAAATATAAGTGGAGTAAACATAACATAGACATGTGAAGTGAAATATCTTGTGCTTATGCCAGATTTTGTAAGATGTGTTCATATTATATATGCACTCCGCCCATAAATCCATAGACCTAGATACCATCTGCATACATGTCTAATACTCCACCCCTGAGGGTAAGAAAATTTATTGTCTCGTTAGTAAATGCTCGGAATAAAGATAAACGACAAAGATTCCTTGCTCCAATGGATGTTGAGGCGGTTGTGAAGATACCTCTCAACACGAGTATTCAAGATCATTTCCGGGTTGGCATGAGGAAGCAGATGGGATTATTGAGTTTTTGTTCTGCTTACCGTCTGCTTGTCAGAATGAAGAGAAAGAGAGAGACCTTGCTAGAGGGAAGGACAACAACGTCGAATGGCCCGAGAGAGGAGAAGGAATGACCAAATCTATGGCGGTCCATGTCAAAAGTTCCCTGGCATCAGGGGAAGTTTTGTTTGATAGGAATATGTCATCAACGAGTAGAAGCGCAACATGTGGGGAGAATGATACCAGGGGTCACTCCATTATTGAGTGCACCATGGCGAGGAACGATTGGGCGCTTGCTGGAGAGGATACTACAGAGGTTATGTCACATGGTGAAAATATGCCCTAGTGGCACAAATAAATGTTATTATTTATTTAAATGTGTTTATAATAAACATTTATATTTCTGTGCTAGAATTGCTATGGTTCTTGAATTTGAGATTCAGAGCAATGCTCATATGTATGTGTGGAAACATAAACACAAAGTAGGTTCATAGTCTTGCCTCTAAGACTACCTCATGTGTTGCATGATGATCCCATTCTCCTGATAATAGGGCATTGTTAAAGTAACAGGGATGCCGATAACAATAATAGCATGTGTTAACGAAACAATGGTGTTGAACAGACCCAACCGAATGACATACTATGAGAACACATCATCACAATGTATAAGCATACTCATGAAAGTGTTACTCACTTTCTTAGACCATGAGAATGTCATGTACCTTCATGCCAGATGGTGTGCTTTGTAATAGGGACGTGCCATAGAGGCAATAAGAAATGTATTATTTTATTTCTATGTTCATAATTGAGCTTATATTTTTGTGCTATAATTGCATTGATTCTTGAATATGAGTTTAGAGGATAACCCAATTGCATGTGTGGAAACATAAACACCAATCTGATCCCAAGTCAAGCCTCTAACATTAGCTTTGATGATTGATTTTGTTTTCCTGATCATGAGCATTGTTGAAGTAACTGGGATGCTATTGATACGTCACCAACGTATCTATAATTTTTGATTGTTCCATGCTACTATATAATCTGTCTTGGATGTTTTATATGCATTAATATGCTATTTTATATTATTTTTGGGACTAACCTATTAACCTAGAGCCCAGTGTCAATTTCTGTTTTTTCCTTGTTTTCGAGTTTCGCGGAAAAGGAATATCAAACGGAGTCCTAACGGAATAAAAATTTCGCGATGATTTTTGTTGGACCAGAAGACACCTGTAGGACTTGGATTCCAAGTCAGA